TTTAGGATGCCATTACTTGAAGGATTAAAAAATTCTAGTAATCATGTTTGAACCTTCCATTTGTTGTCTTCGTTCTGATGTGTTATAATAGTTCAGGAAATTGAAATTTATTGGTTTTTCAGGTCTCTCAGTTGGAAGAGAAGTTACAAGAGAAACGATGTCTTGTAGTGGATTTACAAAAGCAATCTAGGGTGCGATAGCCCTGTTATTAAGCATTACATTTCTTCAATTATCTGCTTGCTCATACTTGAACAAAAAAATCTGTCTTGACCAAGAAGATGTTAACTGCTGCAGAAACTGGAGGATGCATTAATTAATGCAAAGAAACATTCTTCATATCGTCAGATGCAATTGACCAAGGTAATCACCAGTAAAACTAGTTACGCGTAAGCTACTTTGAATTATCATTCTGATGTCTACTTCATGAATGCTGACACTGGGTTTGCGAAAATCTTCAGCTGCACAAATGCTTTATGCAAGTGAAAGAGTACACAGAGCGACTAAAAACCTGTGAAAAAGAACTTCAGGTTGGTGTAATTGTTCAAATTATATCCTGTTTTGCGTTGTTTGTTTACCTTGAAGACTAGAATTGTAGTGAACATATATTGTTAAATTTATTTCTGGCGGTGTAATGATTTTAATCCATCTGGAAATCTAGTTGCTCACTTCCCATTGAACTTCTCCTCTTTCCCGCGCAACGTCTCAAACGGATGTGAATATGACAGTGTACTTATGCTGGTCAGTGGTGGCTTACATTTACATGCTTTTTTTTTGGGCATGCAGACTATGGTTGATACGGCAATGTTAGAGAGTGATGGTGATGGCGAAGCTGTTGGCTTAAAGGATGCACAAATCATGAGTGGATATGTATGATCTCTGGTTGATGCGGCATTGAGTTGTCGCTGTGCTGAGTAGATTGTATTTAACTATCATGCTTAAGGTCGTAGCAGTGATAAGTAAAAAGCATAAAATGCATCATCCTTTAGTTATAAATCTGACGAAATTTTTGTTCACAATTTTATGTCAAGTTCAATGGACAAAAACTTGTACTTGTTGCTGTGATCTGCGATGTATAAATTTTGAACAAGCTGTATTTTTATTCTGGGGCACTCGTAATCTTGAGCCTTGACTGTTTGTTGATGCCATCCAAAGATAGATGGGGCCAAACCTTTCCACGCATCCAATCCCAAATACCAAAGCTACCCCAACTTTTGGCCCGTGGTTTATCTATCTTTGATGAAACCTTGAAGTTGTATTGATGGGCATAAGAATTGGACATTGTCCCCCTTGATTCAAGGTCCCCCCCCCCCCCCTTTTGGGGACACTGTAGTATACTATCTGGTTATCAACGCCCTTAAAATGGAGGTAAGTTCCACTTTAACTTTACCAGTGAGGGATTATTTCTTAAACAAGAACTAGGGAAAATTTGTGCGTATCACAGGGTTTATATATTTCATAAGATAACAAAATACAATTTTTTCAACGTTGGGAAACTTAAAAATTATTATATAGTATTGTAAACATTAGATGTACTTTTTCGTTTTAAATCTCAACTGCATCCTGCGGGTAGCAAAAGGCGTAGCCGGAACCTTGAAAGTAACGGATTGGGAGCACCCCAAAACTTAAAAAGAATGACCCCAAAAAATTAAGGATTGCGAAAAACAGGTGAGTAAATAGAGAGTGACTTAGGGTGTGTCTCTTTTGTGTCGCAACCCAATAAGAGTGGCAGGAGGCTATGCCCAACCATTGGTATCCTTCTCTGCTTCTGCTACATCACTAAAGTTGTACTAATTTTGTACCCAAAAAAAAAAAGTTATACTAATCTACTATACAAATTTGCATTCTTAAAAGGCAACTAGGCAGATCTCATTTCTACAAGTTCAATGTCCCGCACTAAAGAAAATTATCGTCCGTGAAGTTTTTTTTTTGGGGTAAAAGTTTAAATTAATTTAAAAACTAGTTAAAGGTTTAATTTAATCTTAAATATAAGACACAAATCTACTTTATTTCTAATATTTATTTATTTTTTTCTCAAGTAATCTCCATGGTAATTGTACATGTTAAGTTGTTTTCATGAAAAAGATGATTAAATGCATATTAGTGGTATGGATATTTTAGAAGAGACAATATTCATTTATAATCTGACTTGAATAAACTCAACTTAATTGAGACTAACGTGACTTGATATATATTAAAAAAAATAATTCTACCCTCGATCCTTAATATAAAAGCTCATTCTACTTTTATTTTGGTCATAAATATAAGACCGTAATCTATTTTGTTTTTCATATTTATTTATTTTATAAGATAATCCTTATAATAATGATAGATTTAGCCGATATACTTAATTAATAAGAATATTTTAGAAAATACAACACATATTTATTACAAATAACTAACTTAACTAATTTTCTTAATCTTAATCTGCTCAAATTAGTTAACTAGCTCTTATGTTAGGAACCGGATGTAGTATATAGTAAGACGAGAGAATTGCATAATTGGTTAAATTGATTAATTAATAAGCATTGAGCCTTACCATGTCAAGATCTAACCGGACCAGAACCTTGTTAAGGTTAGTACTAACGTAGGCATGGGATCAGGTTCAGGCTAATAGTATAATGTTTGTGCCTATGGATTATGGAGTAATGTTATAGGGGGGCCGGAGATCATGTACTGGTTTTATCCAACTATAATTAATTTTATTATCTTGGGGGTTCTGGGGAGTTTATTAATGACTAATTGCTTGATTTATTCGGATAATGACCCTGCTGAGGTTTCATATGAAAGCGGCCTACCTAACTTAAAACTCATGTTAAGCAAAGAATAAAAGTGTAAATCAACTTTTTCCCATATATAAAGTTTGGAAATTGATTCTCTGCCTATGGCAAATCCCCAGTTTAAATATAGAGGTTTTCATTATTTTATTCTCAAATAAAAGCAACACATGAATTTTTTTTAAAAAGAATTTACCCTTTTTGCAATAAAATGATGTTGAGCAAAATTTAATAAACTGCTTTCTACATACACAGAAGAAGTTTTATTCGCTCGGTTTTATACATGATCATTGGTCATCATCTTGAAGGAAAATAGAAAAGAAAACCAGAAAAAGACAGAGAGGGACATAGATGGAATCCAATAATAATTTTTCCTAGTAAATAACACATGAATGCATACAAAACAAAATGAAACAAAACAAACGTTCACTTTTATGCCTTTTTTACCCTCTTCACATCCATACATGTACACATATGTAGGTACCTAGTAATAATAAAGTAACGCCGTAAGGATATTTGCTTCCTTTTCTTCGCATGTTGAATGAATAATAATAATGCTGATAACAATACTTGACCATTCATCGTCGCCATGCATCTTCAGAGAAAAAAAAACCCTAATTCTGAATATCCCGTAAACCCTAGAATTTCAGAGTTGTCTCGGTCCGACTACCCTCTTCTCCTTCTTCCCTCAGTGCCGCCAGCCCTTTCCTCTCCCCTTCGTTCTCCCCGCTATCTTCCTTCCAGCTGCTGCTCTCTGACTTCCCGCCCTCTATACTCTCGGACCTCTCTCCCCCTCCTCGCATCTCCGATTCCGGCGAGCCCTGGTGCGAATTCGTTTTGTACATCTGCATATGGTGATGGAGCAGCGTGTGGTAGTGCGGCGGAGTTGGCTGCTGCGCCGCCGCGGCAGCGTAGAATTCTTGGTGCACTGGCGTTGTGGTGCAGTAGTGCGGCGGTGGAGGAGGGTGGGAGGTAGGGTGTGGGCTGTAGATGGCAGGTGCGCCAGTGTGAGCGGCGGCAGAAGCGTATTCCGGCGGGACCCAGATTCCTCCTAGGACTACAAGCTGAGGTGCGGGTGACCCGGCTGCTTGTGGGCTTGGACTGGGACGTCGTGTATGAAGCCTGTATTTCTGTGCAACGACAGAAGAAAAGAGAAGGATGAGTATAACGGGAAAAGAAAACTCACAAACCAAAAAAGGTGTGTTTTGGAAATGCAGAATATACATTCTGCAGCCTGCAGAGTGGTACGTTGTCAGTGAGGCTGGCAAGGCAATTATAATAGTACAAGAGGGCAGTGGGCTCCCTCTTTCATGCCTGTCCCGCGTGTCCACGCCTGAGAAAGAAAGTGAGTCTGAGAGATAGAGAGATACCTGGAGATGGCTTTTAACTTCATCATTGGTCAAACCGTCAACCTTCATCAGCTCCCTTATCTGCTTTGGGGTGGCCACTGAAAACAGAAAAGAAAAGGAAAAATCAAAGTTGTTACTTGCATATGATAGCAGTAATGATTATCAAAATAACTAGACTACTTGATTGTCTCAATGATTATAAGATGGGTTATGTAATATGCAGACACACGCACACACGTATGTATGTATATGAAAATTTTAATTAAACTTTTTATACCTTGAGATCCACCTAGCATCTGAAGAGCATTTACAAATCGGCGGTGCAGGTCAGGTGACCAGCATCTTCTTGCCTTCCTATGAGTTTGATTAGTGGTGTTGGTGGTGCTGGTTGTTTGTGGATCAGACGCAACTGGAGTTCCTTTTCCTTGATCGGTGATCACTCCAGTACCGTTGCCTCCTGTGGCTTTACCAGAATTTTCCCTCTTGGGACATGACACTGCATTTTCTGTTTCTGTGCATTTCTTGTCCTCCATTTCTTTCTCAACAGAGGCGAGGGCCAACTCGGGGATCACCCGTAATGTGGAGCCACTTTGGCATGAGTTTCGTTCTTTTGAGAATGGCAGGAAGGCTCCACCATTCCTCTGTTTGTTGTCAAGAGCGAGCTTGGGGCTTACACTGAAGCCAATATCAGCTTCTTTAGGGGATGTAATTGTGGACTGGGGCTTGGTTCCTTCATTTGCTTGGCTCCATAATTGAGCAGATGTCATCCAATTTGCCTTGTCTGATATGCTGGATGCCTTCTCAGAGCTTTCTGAGTTTGACTGCTTGATGGGTATGAATTCTTCCAGCACTGGTCTCGTGCCTTGATCTGCTCTGTAGGCTTGAAGTTGCTGCCTTGAGGCCTCCATAGCTGTCCAAAATTAAATTATAATCATGGTAACTGAATCAATCCCATATGCAAAAGAAGAATGGAAACACAATAAAGAAAAAGGAAATAATTTGCATGATATGTTGCTATCCAGAACAAGTAATTGCCTGACTACTTTTGCATTCAAAAATAAAGCCTGAGAAATGATTTTCCACACAGATAAAGCTATCGCCTACTTCTATCCGACGAAGGAGAAGGAAAAGGAAAAGAAGAGGAAGAATAGATAGAACAAGATAAAGAAAAAGGTTGATTTTAATCGCCACTGGGAAGATCAAAAGAATGAATATACCACCAGTTTGATAGTATAATCATCATGGTATTGAATCTGCGGTAAGGTTTCTGATTCTGTGTTTAGTTTATTGGAGGCTTCTGAATTTGTTAATTTTCATGTGCATGACAAGCCCAATATGAATGATCATTCAAGGTGTACCGTTGGTAAGAAGCTGCATGCAGAGAGGAAGCTCGCGCTTGAAGGCATCAATCTTGAGACGTTCTTCCTCAAGCCGAGAAAGGAACTCCTCAAGCTTGTAGGTATGATCTGCCTGATCTCCAAATGATTTCAGAAGCAAAGAATAGCTGTGGGGTTTGCAATCCAGGCTTAGTTCAGACGGCGAAGCCATTTTTTTCCCACGTACAAAAGGTAAATATCTCCTAACAATCACTGTATATATGAGACGATGTTCATGCCAAAATAGGCGCAGGGTGGTATGTAGGAAAAAACACGAGCAAAAGAGGGTATTTGGCCTCTTTCTTTCTTTGTTTGAGTCTGGTGGGGACGATATAGAGAGAGAGAGAAGGGAGGGTGGAGATTGTTTGTGAACACAAGGAGGATCGAGGGAGGATCGTCTTCTTTTTAGGGTGAGTTCAAGAGGGAATAAAGCAGTGTTAGAGAGAGAGAGACAAAAGAAAAAGCAGAAGATAAAGCAGAGGGATGTAACTTCCTACAAAGAACCAAGGCAAAAGGGGGCAAAAGATTAAAAAAATGAGAGAGGTGGTGTGAGAGAAGGAATCAGTGAGCCTGACATTAGAGGGTCATGTGCTTAGAGCCTGGTTTAAGA